AGTGAAAGAGACAGTACACAGAAATTTATCTGGAAAAAAAGAAGAATAGCAGCAATGCATATTGTCAAATTTCTGCTGAGAAAAATGCTGTGAGTGGTCAGAAAAAACTTGTCAACAGTTTTGCAACTCTTTTCATACTTTTAATTTTAAAAGAACTTGCCTCTATCCTTAGTGTTTTGGGCTTTGCATGTTTTTTTGTTTGGTTGGGGTTTTTTTTAATTGCAGTTATTGTGGTAAACTGCTAAAATAAAAGCAGTGCTGCAGAATTCATCACCGCAGTAGAAGACCAAGTATGATAACCAGGCTGTGATTGTCCTGATCTACATGAGAATACCTTGCTACAGCTAACTCAGGACTTGGCCAAATAACCTGATGGTTACAACTGGAGAAGCCCCAGCTTCTTCAGGGCTTAGCTGGCAGCCTGTCACTTATGTTCACAAACTCTGCATCAGAGCACCTATGACGGCCACTTTGTTGCAAAACCCACTGTTGAAGTTCTCGTTTCTACGGAGGGGCAGCAGCAAGCAGCTACCAGTTCATAAACTGCTGTAGTGATTTCTGCTGGGAACATCCAGTGATGGCTACAGTCAGTTTAGACCTGCCCTTGTCATGGAATGGGGTTTAATCACAGAAAGGTCTCTGTGTGCTGACACACTGAGATCCAGTCCACAGATGCGATTACGATGTAAAATCATACTGAGCCCTTTTTGATGCAGTTTTCCCACATAAGCAAATCTTTGAGGGAGAACTTCAGATCTGACATAGGATATACCGTCTTTCCCCCATTTATGCTTTTCTCTTTCAGTCTTATTGTGAAGAGAGCAGATAGATTACTAAAGTAGTGGCTGAGATTCCAAATTCCTCTAGGAGAACATGATCTGAAATGCCCTTCTTCCGAAGATCCGCGAATCTCCAACACTCACTTTGTTGAGGTGGTAAATCTATTAATTTTGATTAGTAGCATTCGGCCATTTTCAGTGTGTTTAGTCCTAAAATCCTCAGCAGATGCTCAGTCAATTGTCAATCAATCATCACTAAAATTTTGCATTTAAAAAGATCTGAGGACATCAGGATTCTAATGACTGTGCTCTGAGCTCCCTGTCTGTGGCACTGATCTGCTCTATACTGCCAGCTTTTCCCAGCGCTGCTGTTGGTTAGGGATGCAATGAAGCGCAATTTGTGATTATCATTTCTGGGCTCATGAAAGCCCCAGGTGTAGATGTAATCACAAGGAGCACTGAGCTTTTGCTGGTATAGCTTATTTTGCTTTTGTGGGAGAAGAAAAGCCTGGAATAAGCTGTACTGGTTTATTGCAGTTTTGCTTGTATAGAATGACAGATTACCTACTTAGAAGTGATCTGAATATAGATATCCCTTGGAGTTGAAGTAGATCCATCCATTGCATCTATGTAGGCCTGTTTTTGTTTCACTTGAATAGATACTGCATAACTAAGGAATAAAAGTGTTTTCTTAAAAATATTTTGCTATGGGGCAACAAAATCTCACTTTTTCCTCATCTGCAGAACAATGCAATCTGAGTTTAAATTGGCAGTTACCAAGAAGGTGCTACAAATAAGAAAGTATTAGTAGCTTAAATATATATATATGAATAAATATTATGCAATTAAGTAGCATGCTTTATGCCCAGCTCATGTAAATCCAGACTGCAAGTGTAATAATGGACTCGGACGTGTAGGCTGGAGAGACCAGTAACATGCCAGGGACAGGCACGTTCACTAACACATGCACATATGCACAGGGTCTCTTGCTTTGTACAGCAAGTGAAAGTAGCTTAGGTGAGCATGACAAACGGACCAAAGGACATGCCCTCTCCTTTGCCAGCTGCTTACTGATTAATCAAGGGCACAGTGCTGATAGTAGTTATGTGTATGAGTAACTTCCACTTTACTTGGTGCTCCCAGTGGAGCCGACCACATGCCCTGTCACGTGAATGAGCGTGTTCTGGACCATGCCTCCAGAGTTCCGACACCCAGAAAATGTTATTTAAGGCTCATCATAGAAACGTCAGCACCTGCTTGAAGAATATGATGATGGACTCAAGGAAAGGAACGGGACTAGGACAGGGAGAGGCAGGACAGAGCCTTGGTGCAGGTGATGCGGCTGGCAGAAATCCCTACAGAACGCCCGCACAAAGTTGCCTCACGTCTGCTAATTCTAGTGATGAAAAATAAGACTCCAAAGTAATTTCTATGCCAAGGAACGAATCGCAAAACCAGTGCGCTGCCGGGTGGGGGGACACGGCGGGCATATCAAGCAGGGGGAACGCGACCGCCAACCGCGAGCCAAGCGGTCAGAGCCGAGCGGTGCGGTGAGAACGTGCCGCGATCTCAACACTTCGGAATCCTGCGGCAGGCTACAATGGGCAACGGGAATCACAGCGCCGCGTCCCGCTCCCGCAGATAGCGGTGCGGGACGGTCGCACTTCGCCAGGAAGCGCCTGCTCCCGCTTCCAAGCGCGCGCTGCTGCGGGAGAGCCGCATGCGCGCAACCGCGGGGCGCTCGCGGGGGCACCGGCGCGCGCCCGCACCGGCAACCTGCGGGCCGTTAACGGAGGGAGCGGGAGCGGCACCGGCCGGGCGGGCACGGGGCGGGCACGGGGCGGGCATCGGGCGCCGCTCGCCCTCCCCGGCCCCCCCGCACCGACAGAGCGGTGCTGGACCCCCGCCGGGCCGCCGCCCCGCCCCCCCCTCCTGCCAATCACCGCGGCCCCGCCCCCGGGACCCGAGGTGCGGGGTTTGAAAGCGGGCCGGTCCACGCGGCACGCAGACGGGGGGGGAGGGGGACGGGACAGGCAGTGGCGTGTCCGGCGGTTGCGGGGCGGCCTCGCCCGACCGGCGGGAGCCGCCCCCGCGCTGTTGGCCGAGCCCTCCCCGCGAGGGGCGCCGGCCCCAAGACCGGCCGGCGAGCGTTGGTCCAGCGGGCGGCCCTCCCCGCTCTCCCCCCGGCCGGCGCAGTGGGAGGCGCCCGGGCGCGCGCGTCACCCATTGTTTACAAACCAACGCCAGCGGGCCGAGCTCCAGCCGCGACCGCAGCGCCGGAGCCGCGTGTGCTCGCGCGCGCGCGGGGCGGCGGGCGGGCGGCGGCCCCGGTCCCGCTGCGGCGGCTGCGGCACGGCAGGGACCCGGCAGAGATGCCGTGCCGCCCAGGCGAGCGCTTCCTGCTGCTGGAGCGCCCGGTCGCCGTGGGACAGGCAGGCTCCAAGGAGGTGGACGCGCTGGTGGCTAAGCTGGGCGAGGTGCTGCAGCTGAGCGCCCAGCGGGCGCCGCCGCCGCCCCGCGCCCCGAAGCACCTGGGGCCGGGCAGCGCCCGCGACCGCGCCGCCCCCTACTCGCCGCGGTGCTGCAGCGGCGGCGGGGCCGGGCTGCTGGCGCCGCGGGGTCCGGCCCCGCCGCAAGCCCACCCGCAGCACGCCGAGACCCCGCGGCCGGACCGGAGCGGCCACCAGCGGGTGACCAAGCAGCTGTGCGGCCGCGGCTGGCTGCGGAGCGCCGCTCGACGGAGGAAGCAGCCGCCGCCGGGGCCGGGCGACGGTCCGGCGGAGGAGGAGGACCCGCACCGGCTCCTGCAGCAGCTCATCCTCTCCGGCAACCTCATCAAAGAAGCCGTCCGGCGGCTGCAGCTGGCGGCGGCGGCGGCAGCGGCAGCGGCGTCCGCGGCCTCCAGCGGCAGCGCCTCGGCAGGGAGCGGCGGCGCGGACAGCGAGGCGGCGGCAGCGGCGGTGGTGCAGCCCCTGCAGTAGCCGGCGGGGCCGAGCGGCGGTGACCGGGGCGGAGGAGCGCGTCCGCTGGCGGCGGCGGGGCCCCGCCGGGCGGGCTGCGGCAGCGCCGTGCGGGCTCTGCCAGGATGTAAGTGTGTCCCGGCGGCGGGGCCCCCCCGGCGGGGCCGGTGCCGGTGGAGCGGGAAGGGTGTCCGAGCCCCCCCGTCCCAAGGTCACCCGCGGTGCGGACCCCGCCGAGCCCCGCCGCTCGCCCACCGGCGGAGGCCGCGCACGCCGCCGGCCCCGCGCTGTTGTTGTGCCCCCCTCCCTCCTCTGCCTTCCCTGGGAGCTCCTCCTCCTCCTCCCCCCGCCGGGGCAGCCTGGCCGGGGCCGCGGACCCCCCCGCCGCGGGTCCCCGCTGCCGCGGAGCTGCTCCGTCTCCCAGGAGCCATTTGCAATAATCCTCGCTGACCCCGGCGGGAGGTGTTTCCTTTCCCCTCCCGGGCTGATTTGGTTTTTTTTGTTGGGGGTTTTTATTGTTATTTTAACGCTTATTGTTATTATTTCTCGTTGTGACTGTATGAAGCAGTTTTAAAAAAATGTGAATATCAAAGCTGGAAGGCAGCTGGACTTAACAAATGAGTGAATGGAGCCTGAGGATGCATTGTTCGCATAAGGTAGCTGAAACAAGTTTTTTCTACCAAAAAGAAAAATCCTAAATCCACCCTTCCCCGACAAACGCAATGGCTCAAGTACAAGATGCAGCTGTTGATTTTAAATATATGCACTTCGTACCGGAGCGTTTGAAATGTGTTCCTGATTTGCAGGACTTACTGTCTTAATTAACCTGTCTGTATTGAATAAACGTGGTCTTGTTTATATTTTCGGGTCTGTGTCTCATTGTTAAGGTGAAGTGAATTCTGGTTCACGAGAACAAAACTGTGTGGATAATGCTCCAGTAGGCACGTTCCCCCTTGATCTTCTTTCAGTTGTAAGATCTCCATTTTGCGGGCAAAAAAAAAATCCCCACAACAATCCGCATAGTCTGATGCAGTGGGACACTGGTTATTAATGCACGGAGATGCAACTGAGCCCCTTTGTTTGCCAGCAGCGTTCATTCGTAAGCCATGAGACACCCCTTCGAGCAGCCGAGAATGTGGCTGCTGGAATTTATAAGTCAAATAATTCTGAAACCAGAATTAGGGATCTTGTACCGGGGCAGGAACATAGCTTGTGTTGGTTACTTGTTTGGGTTGTCTTTTTTTATTCTTCCTCTGAGGAGGGGGGGTGGGAAGTACTCAAGAAAGGAGAGGTAGGTCTAGGCAGCAATCTGTAGACCAGAATTTGATAATTTGATGCTGGTCATTGTTAAGTTCCAATACCTATATTAAATGGCTTCCTTGGTAAAATCCTTCCTTGGGTTTTTAGTAGTCATTGAGCTTCAAGATCAGAACTGAACAACACATCAGACAGACTGGAGCATAACAATCTCCCAACCCCCACCCAATTTGAGGTAAAAGCTCCTTTGAAGAAGGTAGGAATCCCACATGAAAGAAAATGGAAGAAGATGTTTGTCTTTGTCCAAGAGAGCAATTTGAACAGCTACGTTTATTTCTGTGATTAGTTCTTTCATGAATACATTAATTCCACAAAATATTTTAGATTTCTTTCTCTGCCACAGCTACTAATAGAAACTGATGCTGAAGGGTTTTATGATGTCTCACTGAATTCCTCATGCAGTAGGACCAGTATGTGATGTTATTATTAGCTTTATCTTGATTAATTTATAAGTATAATGCAGTTCAATGCATTTTAGAATTCCTTAATTGCTAGCATCTGAAGTCTCTTTCGCATAACTTGCACTGCTTTTGTGGCATTTTGCACAACTTGTAAAGTATTCAGATCTGCCCTTAATTCTTATCCTCTAACGCAATAACATAGTGGGTAGATTGTCCTTCAACTGAATTTTTATTTGAAATTTCCTTGTTTCTTAATCCAGTAAAAAAAGTTCAATAGAAGATACAAAGAAACCTTAGCTTCGGATATAACCACTACCCACAACTGAAAAACTAGTTATTTTTGTATTTGCCCTTTAGATGCTCAGGGAGGTGGGTATTAGCTGTGCTGACGCTGAATTTGAACCTTGGGATGAATAGTTTAATTACTAAAAGAGCTGAAGGGGACGAGCTCAAAACTGAGCACAGCTGATGGAGCTGGTGTTGTTACACAACTATGGTTAAAAGTATATGTGTGTGGGTCAGCTGAAATTCTGAAAGCTGGCAAGTTTGACTTGAACTTTTTTGCCACTGATAATTATGCATTGATTTTGCATCCCCCTTCCCTCCCCCCCTTTCCCCTCCCCAAATCCTGGCCTCTGTATACTAATGAGAACAGCTAACTTTACAAGTGTCCTTTGTAGTCATTGAAAGCCTTGAGACATTCCTTTTAAGGATTTTACTAGAATAACACTTTTCAATAAAGTGGCAGTTGAAGTGAGGCGTAGAAAAGATGCTAATAAATTTCACTGTGACTGGTTGGTTTTTAAGCTTCCTAAATTACTTCTAAAATAGCTTTTATTTTCTCCTTTTTGCAAGGCTGGGAGATGTATATATGAAAAGGGTTATAGTAAGCTAAATGTTACGTAGAGTGTGTGATGATTTAGTAAAAGGAATTTTGGCACTTGTTTCAGATAATTTGCATAACTCACTGACGTGTCTTCATCACTTAAAATGTGAACATCCTAAGCTCATGCCAGCAGCCTTTCTCGTCACATCTTCCGTATAAGATTTTATCTTCTTCAAGATAGAGCACGTCACTTCTTCATATGGGAATGGATCGAACGTGGCTAATTTTAGTTTTGGAAGCCACATTTTACAAAATTTTGGACCAATTGAAATATTGCCAGAAGGTTTCCGTTGATTCATTGTAAATTCTCTTTTTTTTGCCTTGTGCTACACCGTGTGGGCATACAAACAGAAAGGAACTGTGACAAAAAAGTCACCATATACTTCGTTTCCCAAACAGGATAAAAAGTTTCAAATTTTGTAAGCTTCTAATACCTGTAATTCAGAGGTGGGGTTTCTTTATTACATTTAGTCTGTGCTGGTCCTCAGATACCAGTCGTTGGTTTCTAGAGAAGAAATTTCTAAAAAAAAATAGCAGTGTGTTTGGCCTTCCTAGTATGCCTAGGCTGTTTTCATTTGTAAGTGAAAATGTAGTTTACCTCAGCTTTAAATTTGGAATAAAATGATATTTTCAAGATAGGCATTTAGCTAGGTTTTAGCTTTTTTTTTTTTTCCATCTTGTGAAGAAAAAAAATCATTCAAAACACAAGATTTTGCAGTGGATCACATGAGCTGTGGAACCAAAAGTAAGTCATTTAGATTTTTGTAACAAGTGACATTTCAATGCATTGGGGAAGATATTTATTTTCATTATATCTATAGGGGCTATATTTTGAGATCAAACTTGTTTTTAAATAATTTTGTAAACAAATGCACTGAAAACTCACTGCCTCATCTTTCTATCCACCTCTCTGTGATGTAGAACTAGCATGGCACAAGGCTGGCATAGCTTTTTCATTTGTAGTCTATGTTACTGCTTAACTCCTGGGTTTTCTCCATATAACTAGACAAGTCAGTTTTCCTTTTTCTTTACTCAAAACTCAGCTTCGCACCCTAGTTATGTCTTGCTCTTTGTACTCCCATATTCCCTGAGCTCTTAAAAGTAACTCAATTTATCCAGAAGTCTGGCAGATGGAATGATTTTTGTGTGCTATTTCAGTGTGTGTCCTGTCTCCCTTTTAGCTCATTAGTGTGTACTGTACCAGCACCTAGAACATATGTTGGTATGGTACATGGGATAATAAACAAGGCAGGAAAGCAAGGACTCTGCTCTAAGTCCTTAAACTCAAGTTTTAAAGAAGTCTTTCAAGCAACTAGCAAGCATATCTTATGGAAGGCATAAGGGAGAAGAAGGATATGTGCTGGCTAATGCACAACTTAAGTTCTGGTCAGCCAAGGCCAGTCCCAGTGTTTGTGGTGATTCCATCTTCACCTCCATCCAAAAAACATTCTTCATTCCCTCCTAGTCCCTGGCTCGATGATTTTCCTCTCCTCACCCTGCATTCCTTGCCTTACCCAGGCCATTATTTTCAGCTTGTGGTTGTAGTCTTTCACTTTTATCCACCTCATATTGCTCTTCCCAAATATTATGTAGCTTTATTCTCTTCAGTTCCTTTTTGGTAGGTACTTTTGATGTGCTTTTTCACTTGACTTCAAATACTGTAGCTCAGTCGCTTTTCGGTAGCCATGATCTGGCTAACTTCTTATAAACCTTGTAGTGTGTTAGTTGGAGGGCAAGTTAAAAGTGTCCTTCATCTTCAGTTTGTACAACATAGGGCAGAAATCAGAGGCAAAATCCTAGCTGCAACAAAATGAACAGATGAAGTTAACAGAAAAATTCCTTTCAACTTCTATTTCTATGGGGCTTTATGGTTTTTTGGGTTTTTTTAGAAGTAGCTGGAAACCACCACCTAAAGTGCTACAGTAACTACAGAAATGCCTTTGGGGAACACAAAAATGACATCGACAAATTCATTTCCTGAGTCAATTAGTTTGATTTGCTATTTTTCTTCCAGAAATGATGCTCTAGCTATGTGACTAACCTCAGCCACCTTTGTCAAAGCTGCAGAATTGCCATTATGCAATTTCCTTGGCAAAAGGCAGCTGCTGGAAAAGAAGGAATTGGTGCCCATAGAGAAAGGAAGGCTGCAGTGTGCCCAAGCTGCATTAGTAAACATTGTAAACTCCACAACAGAGGAAGCTACAGGAAATCAGGCACCATAAATTCAGAGGCGTGCAGCATTAGTTGTTCCTTTTGCAATATCCTGTATCTAAATTGTATTATTTTTGCTTCCCATTACATACTATGGTGGTGTCTGGTACAGTAATATGGCCAGCTAAGGGTGCTCTTCATCACTGCAGGCACTAGGACATCAGCAGTCAAAAGAAATTGTAAAAAATACCTTGTCTCTGTGTCCC